GTACCGTAGCTCTGCAACCATTTTATCTTTTAACTTCGTTTATGAAGTTTTGCTCTCATAACAACAGGACCGTGCTGAATCGTTATCAGTTTTATTGAAAAATATTATTGACTTTCATGCAGTTATCACTGATACAGAAATAGCGTTTGCGATTGACGACAATATCACGCATGTCAGATCCACGCTGCAAAATACCCGTCTCTTTCAATCTTTTGTTTCACGGCACAACGTATCCAATGACGTAAAATACATCAAAATACACCTTCAGTACCTTTTCTTCAACATTTCAAGTTGTGCCTTTGCTCTTAACGTGATGTTTTCAAGCAGGTAGAATGCCAATATATAAGGGCGGTTTGAGGGAGCTTCTAATATACAACAAACGGTAAAATTATAAACACGAACCTTTTAAAATTCCATGCAGTCCTACCTCCGTCATCTCTGTACAACTCGCAGCCGTCGGCGCGTGCGTCTGCGCGAAGCGTAATAGACAAATAAAACCAATCTTTCAAATATTTCGTTGCTACCTGTAGTAAAAGCGCTATTTTTATTGTTTCAAAAACCAATTTCAGGTCCCTAGACCAGTGATTTACGGCTGGTATGAATCGTTTTAAATGATATTATGGCTGGGTAGAGTAACAACTGTCCGTGCTTGGTTTGGGTAATAAACTATTGCTGGAGTTGAGCAGCATCACTGATTCTTTCGAACATTGTTCACGGTAATATATTGTTCAACCAATTAAATGCAATAAATCAATGACAAAGAGCATCTTTTCAGGCAATCGATCATACTTTTGAGTCTTGTTTGTTCCAAAACTGAGTTTCCAAATTATGAGCGAGTGTAAGAAAAAAGGTTCATCAGTTTAAAATTCTCAATAAAGAACATGCTATCCTCCATTTCATTGGGATTCATTACGCATTCCTTTTGTTTTGATGTCTCCTCAGTTCCCGTTTTAGGTATAAGCCTCCTCGCCTTAACGTCCTTTTCGTATGTTGACATTTTAACTTCAAACAGTGCTCATACTTCAATATCCCATGCATTACATGTAGAAATGATATTCCGAGTAATTTTCGTCTTAAATTAATTCATGTTAGTTCGGTTTGTCAAACCCACATTCTTTGTCTACCAGATATTTGTAGATATGTTTGACAGGCCATGCGACAAATATTTTATGTCTGGCAATATCTTCTATATTTCGACCAGAAACACGAAATTCGTTATACTGTCACCATTTGTGTGTACACATTTCGGCGTTATAACTTATAGGGGATGGCAATATATCGAGGGCGACATACAAATAAACTGCAATAACAAAAAGTAAAAGGTGACCTCGAGTGAATTTGGAAGTAAGCGAGAAGGCAAATGAAATAAGGGGCACCATAATGCGGGGGTTACTGCACACTGTCGTATATGAACGAGACGCTCTAATATGTGTTCAGAAAAAAACTCAACTTAACGCTCTGTTCATTCACTGAATGCGCTGAATCACTGGAACTGAGGGAAACACATCACCATATATGCAGATGTCTAGGGGGATGCGAAGGTTAGACCGATCCCTGCGGTCACACATCTCTCAGCTTGTATCCCTTAGTTACAACATGTGACGTCATCGTCGGCTTAAACAACTCTAGTGTACGTACATGTATAAGCCCCTGGTGATTTAGAATTTAGTTTGTGTATATAAAAACCGTCGATTTTCTCCAATCCAAATCAAAATAGACAACATTTAGATGAAAGTCAATTATAGTTTTTTTTACCAGAAATCACGACAAATTAGGCCTTGTACCAATAAACATTCGTTAAGGTTATATGCTACCTTACTCTATGATATGCATGCCCCGTTCCTAATGGTTACACTCTAAAAAGGAAATGCAGAGTTTAAAGGGAACACAAAAAAATCATTAACTGAACTAGCACAAGGATATTTGTAACGGTTATGGGTTATACGATAATGCTAATTTTTAAATAGAGATAACTCCTATATAAACTCATATGTTGTGAAAAGTAGCATACAACCTTAAATAGTCAGACTGAAATTTCAAAATGCTACATCACTGAAATGAATAGAGAATAATTAAGGTCGTAAAAATGCTGTAATGTATACGTCTTAAACATATTTATTTATATATTTTGTTTAGAGTTCTTTAAATCCGTCCGACATAATCACACCTATAATTTGCTGGTATTGATTGTCGTTACGCGTGCTCGCTCTGACTCGTTATCAGGCGTGGTCTGCCCGTATAATCGGGTATATTACATACAGTTGTATAAATAAATGTTTCAGTGTATATGAAGCTACTTAAGGGCTGATTTGCAAATTTCCTCAACATCAACACTGTGCATGGGCAATACGGGTATATCAATAATCGTTATATATGTATATTTTGTACACAACGGTATGCCAGTGCCCCCTGTTTAAGTCACACGTATAGTAAGTCCGTATGTATGGTTAGCGTTGTATGTATCTGAAACCTAAATACTGCGTAAGTGAACCCTTTATACAACCACTGGGCATGGAGGTCCTGTATATCTACATAGGGGTATGCACAGTCACCGCCTTGCAGCCGCTGCATCATGCAACCAACCATCAAGGTCGTGCGCGGTTAAGATGGGCGCGGTATCTTTCACGCTACAAGGAGGCTTGTGATGAATGTCTCGCGCGTGTAAACGACCATTGCTTACAGTGGGTATGTTTACATAGACAGGCGTATTTACTTGTACATGTAGTTGCAGGGCCACTAACAAGTTGCTCTGTAGCTTCTGTTATATATAATATGATGACGGCGGTAGCAGGCCCGACACCATAATATGCTATGTGTAGTATTTTATATATTGCTCTACTTAAACTGTACTGTACATGTATAATCATCCTAACATAACCACACACACATCTATGTTTTTCTCTCCGCCAATACAGTGCATATTTGTTGAGGCAACATACACAGTACAGAACTACTGTAGTATAGTTTTGCGTTTGACTCCTACAGATTCCTGTAGAATAACGTCGTGTGCTACATACATTGCTAATCGTTTTACTGTATGTCACGGTCGTGTATACAGTGGCACAGTTACCACAAGGTGGTTCTGTCCCTCGTTATCACTCTGACGTCAGAGCATACCATCATACACAAGGGAATATTAATATCAAAGAGCATGTGTGCTAAGGAGCTCTCCTTGACGTACACCACTGAAGACGTCAATCCTTGCAAAGCCTGCTATTATTCACAGTATTCGCAGTATCTTCCATCATTGGAAAGCTCGTTGGAGCTTGTTTCGATGCCTGAATATTTTTTCATACACTGTATAATTTATTCACTTCCGGTTGCGCGCTAATGTTTATTTACACTATTTACATTTAACAATATTTAGAATGAAAAACAATTATACCAAAAAGTCATGTAAGATTTTGAATACACATCAGACTCTGACAAGATGGCCTATATATTCTGTCCCGTGAAACTCTTAGTTGGCCGTCTCTTGAACAGTAAAGACCTTACCAAGCTGCATGTACCGTATTTGTACTATTTTTCTACTTATTGCTATATTGTGATTTTATGTGACTTTTCTTCATATTATCGCACATCGCGAATTGTTCAACATATTTACAAGTTGCTCATTATTTGCACATTTTCCACCGACCGATTTCTCGTAGGTATATTTTTCTTAGGAGGCTCTGTGCGTGAATAATGCTAAATATAGGCTTGTCTTACCTGTTGTTATAATGTGATTGACTGCGATATTGCCCTAATACAGTGTCATGTATTGACTAGTGATATATGACGCATGTGTACTTTGTACTAGCCCAGGTAAGCGTTACTTTAAATATTGTATCTCCAGAGTTACAGTATTTACCATATGATATATTTCTACAGTATCGGTATTAACGATACAGTGTACAGTGTTTACACATATCTCTAGACTATCGTTATATAAAACTCTGTATCTCTAGATAGTCGGGCACATTTAGGGCACACGTTTCGAAATGGCACTCATATGATGTGGCAAACACATCGTATAGTATGTGCTGTCCGTAATGGTGTTAATGATCAGACGCTCGGGATTCATACTTTTGTTGTTTTTAATTAGACAATTTCTGTAGGAAGCCATACATTTTGACGGTTTCATGTTTTTTTAAAGCATCACTTCTCAGTCACGGACTAGTAGAGAACAGCTGCTTGTCCAACACCGTAATGCACCAACAGCTTTTTATTCTTAAGAATATATGTCATTTCTCAACAAAAAATGAACAACGGGATATCAGGTATGGGTCACCTGCTCGACCATTTTGGTTTTCTCCGGGTACTCCGGTTTCTTCCCACATTAAAACACCCCGCGCGCTAACATCCGGGCCAACAAGAGTGATTAATATTAGTTAAAATAACAAGGTTCATAATTGTTCTTAACTAAACTAAGATTATGTTAGTTTGATTGTATTGGACACGCACGTTCTGTCTGAAACCCGGGATAGACGGAGTGTACAATACATTAACTTCCTTTTTGTATCTGAAACAGGAGTCATATTATATGAAAAACACAATGTACGTGTGTCCAAACTAGGATAGCGAGATTATACGTGAAAACAATAATTCTTTACTATCTTTATCCATTGAGAGCGACTGTATTGAACAAGCGTGTGTGTGCTATATCATATATGTTGTTTATGTCCCCTCCCATCGATCGTCTTATGAAAAAAACACACGTGAAGATGATTTGAACTATGCACTTAGCAAGACAGAGGCACACAGAGTAGACATAACACAACAGGTCACATAGCGTTAAGTTGGACATTATAGTTACCATAGAGATACTTTTACGCAAAAATACACTGTACAATATATATACTGGCATAAATTGTAGCGGAACTAAACGTGGTTGTGAGCAGAATTGCCCGGTTTGTGTTACGAGATTTAAAGAACACGCAATGCAAGTTTTATACCGCATCGTAGACGAGATAAGCAGACAAATGAAATAACAAGCTTTTAGTACAACGCACAGGAACGCTGTGGCTCAGCCACCATGGATGTAACATTGTGAGGACCGGAGTACTACCGCTGTGTAGAGAAGTAGTACTGTAAATACGACCACTGTGATGTAATCCTGCCAACACGAACGGTACAGGGTTAGACCAGCGTTGTGGTAGTAGTGTTTGATACCGAATCCCGATTACATACCTACTTAATACACCACTGATAATGGGGTACAGGACTAGCAGATAGCCACTGTGATGTAATTCAGTGTCTAGTACCTGGAGGGGGTAGATTAACTCCCCTTTTAGCTCCATTGAGAACGTGTGTTTGTGTGTAATGTAACTACTCATGAGGAAAACGACTTCGCTACAAGAAAGCGTGTTTCGAAATGAACCATGAGTAAGAGAAAGATGTATTTCATAAGAAAGTCATGTACTCACTGGAAACAGTGTTGGACGCTGAGAACTGATGAGTAAGAAGTACGTTCGATAAAGACAACTCACTCATCATGAGGCGTGTTCGATTGGAGTATTTCAAATCTCAGTGAGAAAAGGTGCGTTCGACATGGACTAATGAGAATTGACTAATGTGAGAATAAAGGATGGTTGTATATGGCTTACAGTGATGCAATCTGCCATAGCTTACACGTTTGTAAGTCTCTGTTAGACACTCGCGTACGGCTATATACGAACTTCAACTCAACTGGTGTGTGCTTGAGATACAAGCTTCTTTACCAGTACGCTGATTCACAAATGGAGATTCATTTGGATTTATTCATCTTTGATTCCAAAACTTTACAGAAAGGTAAAACATTCTGGTTGACTTCTGTGTGATATTATCAGTGTGTCTGGTTTCTATGGAAATAACTGTCTAGTTCACCTGTATATCATGTCTTACCTTGTGTTACCCACACGCACACACATATACATGTGTACATGTATTTATATCTTAGGTTATAATTATATATAACAAATATTTGATATTTCAATTCGATATAATTTATAAATAATTTCAGTGTGTTGTCCGTCCTTTAAATAAGTAACAAAATAGTAATTTCGCATACGTAAATGGTATGTCACCTTTAATTTACCGCACGTGCAAATCAAGTCGCCAGTTAACAAGCGTAATTATAGAAAACAGATACACTGTCTGCTGTTAATTGCATGTGTTTCCATTGAAACCTAACCCCAGGCCTCACTTTCAATCAGCTTTACCGTAGTTGATCTGGACGAGCTGACTGTCGGGCTCAGGGATGACAAAGTCATTGAGCTCTGATGTGAAGACTGTAAACGCGAGGTGTGCTTGGCCTGTATCTGCTAATGTGCGTTTGTCTAACTCCATGCAATGCTTGTGTTTGTGGAATCGTGTTCCTCGAGATCCGGGAGTGTGTTTTGTACCCTTATACTCCACCCATATGTATGGAGGTTTACCTAGAATGCACTTTTACATTCCTGGATTTCCCCTAAATGAGTTTGCCGGGATAAAAACAGAGGAAGTTCCGAATGGAATTCTGGTAAGAACGATTATCATTATTCCATTATGTTATTTTTATGTGGGTTTTTTATATTGATTTTCCGTTTCTGTTTAAGTGATTTTTTGATTGCTGTCATTTAGCCGCAAAAACCACTGTGTCAAATCAGGCAAATAGTTTCTTACTTGGAAAATCCATTAAGGATATTGTAATGTTTTCTCAAAAAACATCCAATATTATCAATTTATAATATAAATAACGTTTTCGAAGTTAAAAAAAACAAACACTTTATTTACAAGTATATTTCCAACAACTGTGTTCAATTATTTAATAACTATGACGTGTTTAAGCATCCACAGTTGGCATATACTTTATAGGATTTTTTTGTTTCCAAAATTACAATAAACTCTTCCATTGCAATGCATCATTTTGTCAATATTTTATCGTTAATTTAAGAAAAAAAAATGATTGTGGTCTTGTAAATTGACCGAGTGAAATTGCTTTGATTCAAAATGGGACTAAACTTATTCTTTTATATTTTCACAAAAAAACAACAACTTGTAAGCTGATGAGTTAGTGTCCTACGACTTAAAATATTGATATATACATGTAGTTAAGTTGATTCAAGTTTATATGAAACTCCAACTTTACGGGAAAAAAACTGACATTTTCGTGAGTAATGCCAGTGGCCCATACACGACCAGAACATGGCGGTAACACATGCATGACTAGTGATGCTTCGTTCTGACGCCTCTCTGCAATGGGAAGCATTTATTGTCTACTTATATCTTCTTCTTTACATCCTGTAACAAATCACCTGTACGTTCACAGAATACACCCTGTAACAAATAACCTGTACGTTCACAGAATACACCCTGTACCAAATCACCTGTACGTACACAGAATACACCCTGAAACATATCACCTGTACATAGACAAAATACACCCTGTAACAAATCACCTGTACGTACACAAAATACACCCTGTAACAAATCACCTGTACGTACACAGAATGCACCCTGTAACATATCACCTGTACGTACACAGAATACCCCCTGTAACATATCACCTGTATGTACACAGAATGCACCCTGTAACATATCACCTGTACGTACACAGAATACCCCCTGTAACAAATCCCCTGTACGTACACAGAATACACCCTGTAACCAGAGACACATAATACACCCTGTAACAATACACCCTGTAACAAATCACCTGTACGTTAACAGCATACACCCTGTAACAAATCACCTGTACGTTAACAGCATACACCCTGTAACAAATCACCTGTACGTACCCAGAATACACCCTGTAACATATCACCTGTATGTACACAGAATGCACCCTGTAACATATCACCTGTACGTACACAGAATAAACCCTGTAACAAATCACCTGTACGTTCACATAATACACCCTGTAACATATCACCTGTACGTAGACAGAATACACCCTGTAACATATCACCTGGATGTACACAGAATACACCCTGTAACATATCACCTGTATGTACACAGAATACACCCTGTAACAAATCACCTGCACGTACACAGAATACACCCTGTAACAAATAACCTGTACGTTCACAGAATACACCCTGTAACAAATCCCCTGTACGTACACAGAATACACCCTGTAACCAGAGACACATAATACACCCTGTAACAAATCACCTGTACGTTCACATAATACACCCTGTAACATATCACCTGTACGTTCACAGAATACACCTTGTAACATATCACCTGTACGTACACAGAATAAACCCTGTAACAAATCACCTGTACGTTCACATAATACACCCTGTAACATATCACCTGTATGTACACAGAATACACCTGTAACAAATCACCTGTACGTACACAGAACACACCCTGTAACATATCACCTGTATGTACACAGAATACACTCTGTAACATATCACCTGTACGTACACAGAATGCACCCTGTAACATATCACCTGTACGTACACAGAATACACCCTGAAACATATCACCTGTACATAGACAAAATACACCCTGTAACAAATCACCTGTACGTTAACAGCATACACCCTGTAACAAATCACCTGTACGTACCCAGAATACACCCTGTAACATATCACCTGTACGTAGACAGAATACACCCTGTAACAAATCACCTGTACGTTCACAGAATACACCCTGTAACAAATCATCTGTGCGTACACAGAATACACCCTGTAACAAATCACCTGCACGTACACAGAATACACCCTGTAACAAATCACCTGTACGTACACAGAATAGATCCTGTAACATATCACCTATACGTACACAGAATACACCCCGTAACAAATCACCTGTAACAAATCATCTGTGCGTCCACAGAATACACCCTGTAGCATATCACCTGTACGTTCGCAGAATACACCCTGTAACATCTCACCTGTCCGTACACAGAATACACCCTATAACAAATCACCTGTACGTTAACAGAATACATCCTGTAACATATCTCCTGTACGTTCACAGAATACCCCCTGTAACAAATCATCTGTTCGTACACAGAATACACCCTGTAACAAATCACCTGTACGTTCACAGAACACACCCTGTAACATATCACCTGTACGTTCACAGAATACATCCTGTAACAAATCACTTGTACGTACACAGAATACACCCTGTAACAAATCACCTGTACGTACACAGAATACACCCTGAAACATATCACCTGTACGTTCACAGAATCCACCCTGTAACATATCACCTGTACGTTTACAGAATACACCCTGTAACATATCACCTGTACGTTTACAGAATACACCCTGTAACATATCACCGGTACGTACACAGAATACACCCTGTAACACATCACCTGTACGTTCACAGAATACATCCTGTAACAAATCCCCTGTACGTACACAGAATACACCCTGTAACATATCACCTGTACGTTCACAGAATATACCCTGAAACATATCACCTGTACGTTCACAGAATACATCCTGTAACAAATCACCTGTACGTTCCCAGAATACCCCCTGTAACATATCACCTGTACGTTCACAGAATACACCTTGTAACATATCACCTGTACGTACACAGAATACACTCTGTAACAAATCACCTGTACGTTCACATAATACACCCTGCAACAAATAACATGTACGTACACAGAATACACCCTGTAACATATCCCCTGTACGTTCACAGAATACACCCTGTAACATATAACCTGTACGTACACAGAATACACCCTGTAACAAATCACTCACCTGTACGTACACAGAATACACCCTGTAACAAGTCACCTGTTCGTACACAGAATACACCCTGTAACATATCACCTGTATGTACACAGAATACACCCTGTAACAAGTCACCTGTACCTACACAGAATACACCCTGTAACATATCACCTGTATGTACACAGAATACACCCTGTAACAAATCACCTGTACGTACACAGAATACATCCTGTAACGTATCACCTGCACGTACACAGAATACACCCTGTAACATATCACCTGTATGTACACAGAATACACCCTGTAACATATCACCTGTACGTAGACAGAATACACCCTGTAACATATCACCTGTACGTTCACGGAATACACCCTGTAACATATCACCTGTACGTACTCAGAATACACCCTGTAACAAATCACCTGTACGTTCCCAGAATACACCCTGTAACATATCACCTGTACGTACACAGAATACACCCTGTAACAAATCACCTGTACGTTCACATAATACACCCTGTAACAAATAACATGTACGTACACAGAATACACCCTGTAACAAGTCACCTGTACGTACACAGAATACACCCTGTAACATATCACCTGTACGTACACAGAATACACCCTGTAACATATCACCTGTACGTACACAGAATACACCTTGTAACCAGAGACACATAATACACCCTGTAACATATCACCTGTACGTACACAGAATACACCCTGTAACAAGTCACCTGTTCGTACACAGAATACACCCTGTAACATATCACCTGTACGTACACAGAACACACCCTGTAACATATCACCTGTATGTACACATAATACACCCTGTAACATATCACCTGTACGTAGACAGAATACACCCTGTAACAAATCTCGTGTTCGTACACAGAATACATCCTGTAACAAATCACCTGTACGTACACAGAATACACCCTGTAACCAGAGACACATAATACACCCTGTAACAAATCACGTGTACGTTCACGGAATACACCCTGTAACAAGTCACCTGTTCGTACACAGAATACACCCTGTAACATATCACCTGTACGTAGACAGAATACACCCTGTAACAAATCACGTGTTCGTACACAGAATCCATCCTGTAACAAATCACCTGTACGTACACAGAATACACCCTGTAACCAGAGACACATAATACACCCTGTAACAAATCACCTGTACGTACACATAATACACCCTGTAACAAATCACGTGTACGTACACGGAATACACCATGTAACAAATCGCCCGTACGTACACAGAAACAGACGACAGATCAAACCTGACATGTCAGCAATCGTGTTTCAGGAATATTCTATTCATAAATAATTACATTTGTATATAACCAAGTGCCAAAAAGAAGCAGTCGAGCTGACAGGGATGAGACGGAAATGAGTTTTTTTATTAGCTGTAATTCAAAATTTGTATTTTTTCAATTATTGCTTTTCGGCACAAGTTAAAATAATCTGAATTTAAATTATGTGGCGTCAAGCTCCTTCCCAACCCATTGCAGGCACACGTAATGGAGATTTAAATATGGATGGGATGGGATGTAACAGTTGCACATGTGTTTGTAGATAAGACCAAGAATTATTTACACTATTTCCTAACAGAGAATGCTCCGTTCCACCTGCGTACACTCTGGGAGTTGTTTTCTTTATCTACGTTTACCGAATACTTATCAAGTCTAAACAACACGTGAAAATAATGCCAGTATAAACCTCTACTCCTACAGGAAACTCTACCGCTACACGAAGTTTCCATCAACACACCATGAATAAGGGGAGAAGAATCAAAGGGAGACAATTAAAAAGGAGAA